GTCTTACTGATTGAGGAATGATGAAATGTTTGTTTTAAAAGAAATAAAACTTTTGAACCAAAAAAAAAAAAAAGATAAAAGATTAAAAAAAAATACTTGTTCTTTGTTACCCTGTGAGTTAAGGACTATGGCAAAACAAAACCCTAAAATCTCATTCGTCAGAAAAGGGCAAATTCTTTCCCAGTTTGGAATGAATTGCAGAGTGATCCTCCTCCAGATATCTTTAAGTATGAACTGGAGATTTCATTAAGTTTTCGTGACTGGAGGCTATCAGCTTTAATAATCTAAATTCCAGTCCTATTTTCTCAAAACATTAAACGCACTTTCTCCAGGCAAGGCATGCAAAGAGGGGTGGTTTTTTTTGTGCAGAATATAAGGGTTAAACCTCTGCTTCATTATTCATCTCAATGAAGTGGGGGGGGGGGTTTCCTGCATTCTTTTCGTGGTCAGGATTGAAGTTTTAAAAGGCCCAAACTGGAACACACCTGCAGGCTTCCGGTTGTACTTTAAAACTTCACATAAAACCAGTTTGTTTGGATCTTTGCGGAAAGGATCTCGAAACATGGCTGAAGGCACAAGAAACATGTCACTGTTTGAACCTTCCGACTGGAAAGTGCTTGAACCATCAAAATTCCACTCTGGTAGATCTGAAAACAAAAATAAGATTGAGGTTAAGCCACTTCTACACACCTTACAAACCTGTGCTATTTAATTCTTGCTGCTATTGTTACTCACACAAGGATTTATCAATGATTTACATCAATAAAAATATACTTCCCGTTGTACTCATTAATGGGAGTTAGCCAGCTAAAGTCAGCCGATGTACTACTAATTATTTGCATTATTACATGTCCCAAAGGGTAAAAACTAGGAAGCTGCCATAACTAGTGGTCACTAATAATCTTAAGAGCAGACGTAGTCAATATTTGCTGGTGGCACTCACATTTTACTTTTATAGTTGTAACAATTGTAAAATCAGTTTTAATATGCCCATGCTGAATTAAAAACTCACTTCAGACCAGAGGTGGGTTCCTACCAGTTCGCACCAGTTCGGTAGAACCGGTTGGTCAAATCTACCGAACCGGTTAGAAGAGGTTCCACCA